AAAAGATATTGAGTTTTATTCCACATTGTTATCCCACTCTGTCCAGGATCTCCTACATAGATCTTCCTCCTAGTGGTTGACAGTGGTAGCCAGGCACAACCTAGTTCTGGTTTCATAGTCATACAGGCTGAGGATCACATGGTGTAGCAGTCCCTTGGACTAATTCTTTCCACACGTCTTTGGTTTTCTTCATTCTTCTTTGCTCTGGATGAGGAGAGAGCCTCATGGCCCCTTGCAAGCTGTTAAGATCCCAGTCACTCCTCACCAAAGTAGAATGTGGAACACTATTTTTGTGTAGTATGTTATGCCACTTGAGCTTGATGTCCCCTGCAACCATGGTCCCGAGCCCATGGGTCCAACTACTTGCTCCCTCTGGGTAGCTGGCTCTGGTCAAGAAATGACAACCTTCTCCTTTGTCAGTTATACTATATAACAAGAAACTCTCACGCAACACCCAAATACACTTGTAGAAACATTGTCTGCCAGTCCTACATATTGTCACAGGCACACTCCCCTCTGCATAGACATATCTAATCGTTCAGACTGTCTACCCATCTATCCATTTGTAGGTCAACATTTGCCATCACTGACAATGCAGTACTGTATGTGCAAAAGGGTTCATCTTTGTTGTCTGTACCTCCAATGCATCTCTCTACATCTTCCTCTTCCTAAATTGACACTGTGTTATCCATTCACATTTAGTACATTGCCCTTCTCTTCACCAAATCAGTATTTGTCTCTACCTATCTAGAAGTGTTCCCTCCCCTCCCCTCCGACCCCTGGTAACCAACAAAGAAACTTTCCTTCCAAGTATAAACCTTTCATTGACTTTTTTTTAAATGTCATAGTGTTTTAGGCAAACGTCAGGAGCTATGTGTATGAAACAGACCTCAGAGCTGAAAAGACTTTGAAGGCATAACAGAATCTTTTATCCAGGACAGAAGTCCTTTTCCTTATTCTAGGAATAAGTGGTCTGTCAAGCTCCTACCTATGATTCTGTTAACCAATAGACCATCCAACTATCAGCAGTTTATAATAGTTTAGGTCTTTTTATCCAAGCATCTGTTGAGTCATGTTCTGAATTTCCTTCTTCTTCTCAATGTCCAACATTTCCTTTAATCCAAACCTAGTTCCATATTGTTAATATGGCCCAATTCCAGCCTCTTGAGTGAGCCCTTTTGCTAAGTATCTACAACTGAACACTATTATCACTCTTTAAGGGTAAGAAATGATTCATGGTATTCCTCAAATCACAACTCAACAACAGGTTCCTTGTTCAGCCAGCACTCAGCCCTGTTTTTTAGAGCAAGTCGGAACAGCTCCATCACCTTCCTCTCCCTTCAACTGACCTCCAAGTTGAGCACCAACCTGGGTGGTTGTAGTCCATGTGTCGTGGACTCTTCTGTAGACCTCGTATCTCCACTGGCATGTGGTGTTCCAGTCTCAGCCATCAGGAACCCAAGACAAGAGAGGGAAGAGTATAAAGTGTCCCAATATCAATGATTGCTTTATTTTCCTTTATACAGGAGAAATAATTTGTGGAGAATCAGCTTAAACTCTTCTGGAGAAAGACTATCAAAGAAAGCAAGTTTTCACCCTGGTCCCCCAACTTTGTTGTCAGTAAGTAAGCTTTCCTGCTTAGCTATCAGCATTGGTAAGTAAAGAATGGAAAGACCAAAAACCAAATCAAATCTAGTGCCATCTAGTCAATTCTGACTCATAGCAACCCTACAGTACAGAGTAGAACTGCTCCACGGGGTTTCCAAGGCCATAAATCTTTAAGAAGGAGACTGCCTCATCTTTCTCCTGTGGAGCAGCTGACGGGTTTGAACCACCAGCTAAACGCCTTAACCACTGTGCCACCAGAGCGCCTATGGAAAGACCAGGACATGCAAATTTTAATTAAATGCCATCTAAATGTCACTTTTCATTGGGGCTTTTAACCTATTTACTCCGGAACTTTGTTTAATGATTAATTAATGTATAGGAAAGGGTTTTATAAAGTATAGGGAAGTAAATAAGCAGTAGAGATTGCTAGTAATAAACAGTATTTGGTTTAAAGGGCAAGGATACAGAAAAATCTATTTTCAGAATTTCACTGAGATGGGAAATAAAAGGAAGAACACTGTGGGAGGGAAACAATAGTGTTGGTTTCTTAGTAATTTGGGGTTTACCAAATGTACTGCAGGACTGTAGTCATTTCCCTTGGAGCACTAGGCTACATTATAGTAGTAAGCTTATACGCACAGCTTCAGTTCTCCTGTTTAACTGGAAAACACTGTCAGCCTAATACAGACTCCTGAACTCAAAACAAAGAAACTGAGGCAAGTAGCCACAAACATGCTGCCTGGGCAGGAACCCAGGAGCCCACACTTGCTCACTGTGGCCAGCCCTGCCAGAACGTGCTGCCAAAGACTGCAAAAAATAACAGGAAAAAGGCTCCTCCTCTTCTCTTCCATTTTCCAGTCTCCTGCCAGTGTTTCCCATTCAAAGAAACTAACTGGAAGTCAGTAGGGAAGACTATGGGAAATGTAGTCTGCAGGTCCAAACTCCTAGATCTAAAGGTAAATAGACAAATGACCCGTGACACAAAGCTTTCCACTAGCAAAAGTAAAAAAGAATCTCTAGCAAAAGCTAGAGTCAACCACTTCATCTGTCTAAGATATTCACTTCAGCTATGGGAACCATCCTGTGTAGCTCAGACACAATACTCCAAGAAACGGAGAAATCTACCAGAAGGGCCAGGTGTGTTCCTGGACTCTGGTGGTCAAACAAACAAAAGACAAACAGACAAATAAGCCATCATACAAGGCAAATTCTTTATTTTCATGTTAACTTCAAAACATACAACACAGATATACCATCATCCTGTTTCAAAGCAGGTACAAGGGTATACAGAACGTGAAGGTATTTAAAATTCACTGAACTCTAAACCTCAAAAGGGATAATCATCTTAGAAGTGGTGTGGAATGTGTGTGGCACAGAGGTGGTATAGGAGAGACTAGAGTCTGGGTCTACAGATGCAAGCTCCCGGGGTAGGGGAGATGAGGAAAGGTAGTTTCCTTGGAGAAATGGTCATAGGCACATGAACTTGCTTCTAAAACATCCAAATTCACTATAGGATGGGCAAGACTTGAGATCTGCCCAACATGGCTGGTAGTAAGTCCCATGATTTCTAGGCTTAAGGGAATCAATAATCATGGTTGAACACTTCAAAGAAAGCTACTCTGGCCCCCTGCCTGTGCAACTTCCAGGGGTTAACAAAATCAAATCCTAACCCTGCCCTGGCCCAAAGATAAAGGCAGCCAAGGCCTGACACCTGCATTCTCTCTGCTGAAAATCTGCTGAAACCAGGTAAGTTCTGTTTTTAGTTCAGATCCTGGTCTGTCACTGAGGCCCCAAGCCTGGGTGGACACTGTTAATCACCAACATACTTAAAAAGGACTATCTCCTCTGGCAGGTTCTTTCCCAGGCCTGGAAGCTACTTTTTGGGAAAATGTCTTGGAGTACGCCAAGAGCAGTAACTCAAAATGTGTCTGACATAAAAGGCATAAGTAGAACTTAGAACTCTAGGAAAATATACCCCAACCACCCTAGCTGGCAAGAAACACTCTGGAAACAGACAGGAGTTGAAAGGTCAGAACTGTTTCATAAGAAAAATAACACCTCAGTAACGATTATTGAAGAAAAGCACTCTGTTAGAACAGGGCACTGCCCTGCCCACACATTGAAGCCTATTCTGCTGTAGATAGTAGGTTAGCAGCACAGCCTCAAGCAGTGGATTTCTGCTACCAAAAGGAAACACACACAAACTGAGCCCGCTATTGGGAGAAAAACACAATTTTGGACAATCTCAGGTTGAAATGGAAGATGGTAGGCATTTCCCTACCATCTAGAGGCCTTCAACCATGACTGTGTTCCTGAGAATAACCACTCTACTAGCAAAATATTTAGAAATGTTAGGAAAGGAGGGAAATCAGAGGAACATGAAATCAAACAGCTCCCCACTTCCAGGGCTTTATTCAGAAATAAATTTTTTCAAAAAGGAAGAGAAAAACCTTCCTCTTGTTGCTCTCCGTAGCAGTTTGAGCAGCCTCTTTGTTGGAAGCCCTCTCTTAGTTAGTCCCTACTTCCTTCTTTCTGTTCCTGTGAAGAACTCAAATAAGAGTTTTGGCATATGGCTCATCTACTCTCAGAAGAAAAAGGTGGTCTTTAAAGCATGAACTTAGGTAAAACCAACACTGAGATCCTAAGCTGTCTAGAAAAGCATGTGTCTTCTCGAATGCTCCACAACTAGTCTCTGTGCTTAGCTCTCAAAATGCACTTAAGTCAGCATTCAGAGAGGGTCTATGGCTTACCAGCCTTCTCCACCATTGGGTTTGCCCATTTCCTAGCACTGCATGCCCAAAACGTAACTGCTAATGCCACAAAGCACACTGTATAACGTCCGTCACACAATTCTCTGGGGATGAGACCAAGGTGCTAAAGGGTGGTCAGCCTGAGATCAGAAACAAATCAAACCCTACTCAAGGTTCTAGAGTGCTCTCTTCTGTTCAACTGAAGACACACTTATGCCCATCCATCAAGCAACAGCAAGATGGTTAATCCCTTCAGGGGGCATTTCCCAAAGCCAAATGGCCCAACTGACAAGACCACTCAGTGTCACATCCCCCAGAAAATCCTTGGTGCATACTCTTATCCAAAATAACTGCTGAAAGGTGAGGTGAGCAGAAGGTCAGATCAAATATAAAGATATCCCAACCCAACAAAGATCGAGGAAGGTTTTAACCAAGAAAAGAAGAATGGACACAGCAGAGGTAGTCTGTAGTGTCTCAGTGACCTGGACTCCTTACTGGAATCATACTGCTCCAAATAAACCATGAGTCCCAATAGTTCTAAACTTGCAATTGATAAACAGGGATCTTGCTGAGCACTGCTATGTACTGGCAAAACATTTTAACATTAGCCAGCATCATGTCCGACAGGCTTCGAGACGATGGTCACTCCCACCTATAAATGTGGACCATCTTCTCTGTTAAGGTAGCCAAGTAGTTGTGATGGTTCACCTCAAATGGGCAGATGTCCAAGACGGGCTGATCAGTCTGCAGTTTCTGTAGCAAGGAGCCACTGCTAGCATCCCACAGCTGAAGAAGACAAGCAGAGAAAAAGGTCAGGAGTCAGTCAATTAAGTTGGAGGTCTTTTTTAAAAAAAAAAAAGAAAAAAAAAAAGAAATCATCAGACCATTTTGGCTGAGTTATGCAGAACGCACTGCACAGTAAAGCAGACTGTCTTGTTATGGAAGCATTTTTGTTGACCTATAAAATACCCACATCCTGGGTGTTACGGACTGAATTGTGTCCCCCCAAAACATGTGTTATAAATCCTGATCTTTATGCCTGTGGCTATAAGCCCATCTGGGAGTGAGTTATCTTTGTTTTGTTAATGAGACAGGAATAGTGTAGAGTGTAACATGAGCCAGTATTTTATGAGATATAAAAAGAAAATGAACAAGCAAACAAACAAGGAGAGATGGGGAAAGACTGATGTCTAGCCACAGGGAGATCTCCAAGGAACCAGGAAACAAGCGTAAAAGAACCTTCCCCTAGAGCCGGCATCCTGAATTTGGACTTCAGGCCTCCTAAACGGTGAGAAAATAAATTTGTTCATTAAAGCCACCCATTTGTGGTATTTCATTTATAGCAGCACTAGATAATTAAGACTGTATTTGTTACCAGAAGAGTAGGGTACTGCTCTAACAGACACCTAAAATATGGAAGCAGTTTTGGAATTGGGTAATGAGTAGAGGCTGCAGAGTAAAAGTCTAGATGGCGTTGAAGAGACTGTTGGTAGAATTATGGATGTGAAAGGCAACTCTGGTGAGGGCTTAGAAGGAAATGGAGAGAACCACAGAGAAAGTCTTTACTGTCATGAACAATACAAAGGGCACCAGAATGTTGCTAGAAACATGGCCATGAAATGTGCTTCTGCCGAGGCTTTAGAACAAAATGATGAACGTGTGCTTAGACAATGGAGAAAGGGTAAAGGTTTTGATGCTTGTCTAAATGGTTCAAATGTTTGGTGGAAGGTAGAATTTGTAAGTGATGAACTCAGAGATTTCTAAGCAATATCTTAAAGGATTTCTCTTTGCCACTTACAGTAAAAGGCCGGCGGAAAGAGCTGGACTTAAAATGAACTGTGTAAAATGAAAACACAACTTCTGTACAGAGAACGAAAGGAAAAATGTTGTCTGCCTTTTGGAATTTTGCAGACAGGAAACAGGTCAAAGGAGCTATAAGATGAAAAGAATCATCCCTGCAATAGCGTGGAGATCAGCAGACTAATGGAAGGAGAGGGGAAGCAAAGTCTTCCCGGGTCCAAATGATGAAGCCACAGCCTCCCAGGGTTCGAAGAGTCAGATTTTCACCAACGAGGTTCCAGAGTATGGGGCTGCCATTAAAGTGTGCCAAGAGGATGGGGCCAAAGCTGAGGGAGCAGGGCTGCCGAGTCCAAGGACTAAGGGGGTTGCCACACAGATGGAGGAGAAAGGGGCTGCACAAAGCCGAGGGTCCCAGTGAGCCTAGAAGGCAGAGATGAAGCCCAGGGTCAAGGGGCCTCCACCCAGAACCCAGAGGCTGTGGCCAACACCCAAAAGTCCAGAGAATGGGGCCATCACCCACACGGTGTCAGAGAACAGAGGATTATTTTTAAGCCTCGAGAGCTAATATAAATTGTTCTGCTGGGTTTTAGACTTGCTTGGTGCCAGTTATCCCTTCTTTCCTTCCAATTTCTACCATATGTAATGGAAACGTCTCCCATATGCCTGTCACATCATTATACTTAAAAAACCAAACCAACTCACTGCTGTCATTTCCAACTCACAGTGACCCCTCCTTGGGTTTTCCAAGGCAGTATCTCTACAGAAGTAGGTTGCCCCACCTTCCTTCCAAGGAGTGCCTTGGTGGGTTTGAACTGCCAGCCTTTTGATTAGCAGTCAAGTGCCTTAAGCACTACGCCTCCAGAGCTCCGGCAGATAAATTATACTCTAGGTGTCACAGATTCACAGATGAAGGAGAAATCTGCTCCAGGATGAAACACACCTTGTGTCTTACTCATATCTGACTTAGATGATTCACAAGATAAGATTTTTGACTTGGAGTTGACTTAAGAATTTTGGTGATGTTTTTACATGTGGCAAGAACATGAACTTCGAGGAGCCAAAGAGTAGAATGTTATGGATTGAACTTTCTCCCTTAAACCCTGTGTACCTGCCCAGTCATAACCCCATTTTTTGGTTCTCTGTCATGTTAATGTAGCAGTACTAGCACTGGGTGCGTATCTTGAGTCAATCTTTTTTGAGATATAAAAAGGGATTAAACAAGTGAGCAAGCAGAGATGGGGGGTGGGGAGGGATTGAGCCAAGCCACATGGAGATCTCCAACGAACCAGGAAGTAAGCTGAAGAGACAAGAACCTTCCTCCTGAGTCACAGGGAAAGCCTTTCCCTAGACCCAGCACTCTGAATCTGGACTTCTAACTTCCTAAACAGTGAGAAAATAAATTTCTGATTATTAAAGTCAACCATTTGTGGTATTTCTGTTCTAACAGCACTAGACAACTAAGACACTGGGTTTGTCTGTCTGCTTTGTGCTAACATTTCTTGATTATCTACCCCTTACAGTTGTAGTAAATAAAAGTGCAAGACTCTGTAGCAGTGCTGCCCATTATGGAAGGCTACTAATACATACGGTCATATATTTTAAATAATTAAAATAAAAAAATCAGTTCTTCGGTCAGAGGAATCAAATTGCAAGTTCTCATCTGGCTAGTACAACTTAACTGCACAACATCTGATTAGACTAAGGTTCAAGGAGGTGCTTGGCACTTCACACTGCATCACATTGAAGAGGCACACTAATGTGGGCTAATGCTTACAGAGATGCAACTGCGATCACAAGGAAGAATACGGACTTATATAGAAATATACATGTATAAAATTTTTGAGTTTTCCTATAGCAAAAGTTTATATGAAGGAACTTTTACATAAATAAAAAATAATAGGTTTACCAGGGCAGAATTTGATGACTCATCCCCAGAACACACCAGAAGGCGGCCATTGTTCTCTGGGTTTTGGAAAACAGCACTTTTGGTCAGTAGTTTACAAGTGGGGCCCCCTAAAAATGTCTGTACAGGATGGCACGAGCAGATGGGTTCTCCAGCATTATTCAGACTGTAGGACATTTCCATGAGCACGCTTCGTAAGGTGCTGTGGTTTTTATCTATAGAACAGAGAAATCATTATGGCTTCATGGGATGATAAAAATATACATATATACATATATTTTTTTAAATTAACCACATTCCCAAACTGCAGAAACTTATACCCTAGTTGGGTAGAAAAGTCTAGTGTATTAAACCATCAAGAATAACTACAAAGTCAACATAACAACAAGATCAAAAGAACAGAGCATCAATAAACTTCAGAAGTCCTAGGCTAAGATAAAGCATGTCACCAACAATAGGCTTTTGTCTATGAGGAAAACAATTCTGCATTGTTCCTTCCCTTTTTAGTAAAATCAATGTATCATGCCACACCTCTGAAAGGCCAGCAATTCAAACACACCCAGTGGCTCCATAGGCGAAAAACTTAGTGATACGTTCATGTAAAGATCACAGCCCAGGAAATCTCAAAGGGCACTTCTATTGCCACATAAGGTCACTGCTGTGACTCAGAACTGACTTGATGGCACCTAACGACAACAAACAAAAGCTAGAGAATAAAGCAGGCTACCAAGCTTTCCACACAAGTCACAGAAATCAGTCCTGGAACTTACGGGATGACCAAGAGCCTCAAGGTTAAGAGAGTATGCTGGGACTTATCTCCAGCTCAAACAAAACTTAAAAACGTTAGCTCTATCCACAACTAGCAGAAGAACGGGCAATTTCTTGACTATCTTTGACCAAACATCTGCCTAACCATCAATATACTTCATCAGGAATTGAGATCCATACCTTTAGGCTAGAAAAAAAACCTGTGCACAGTCAGCTGACTGTCAGGGGCTCTGCCCCTGGTTCAGGAGCGAGTGAAGTCTAGCTGGCTAGATCCACATAGTTGTCCATTTTCTATTTACCTTCATTGGCCCCAAATAAGTTACTAGTTAATACCCTCAAATGGGGCCTATTTGGTTGCTTTCAACTGCCTTTCTCTTAGGTGAAGTGAAGGGCAGGTAGAAGACTGATCTCAGAGTAGCTCAATGGCCACACGACCAGGCTTCCTGATTCCATTACTGTCTCATGCTGTAGAAGCTCATAAAGTGGCTAACTCACCTCCAAGTAGTACCTGGCAGGATCTGTCCCACTTCACACAAGTGAAGAACAGGGAGGCAGGTTCTGTGGAGGAACTTGTAGTCACTGCCCTCACTGCCAGTGTACCAAGAGCTGCAGCATAACCATGGGCTTCAGCCTGTGAGGCGCAGACCAGGGGCATCCCAAGCATAGGGCCAAGCTCTCCTTCCCTCCTCTCCATCAATTCACTCCCAAACAAACCACGAGCAGCCTCATGAGGACACCTCAATACTCACCGGGCCTGTAGGTCACAAGACAGTGCCGAGTGGCACTCTCTGTCTGAAAGTCTGTGCAGCCCCCTGGCTCTAAGGGCAGAACGTGAGGCCAATGAGAAAAGCCCATTTTTAGCTCCCAGAAGGAAGCATTCTCCAAAGTTCCAGCCAGTACTCCACCATATGGAAATGCAGCTGAGGCAGCTCTAGGTATGTACGACAGGGACACCAACGGGCATCTGAAGGGAAAGAAAAGGAACACACCCACATTCTAATCCATGAGATTGCTTCAGACCCCAGCACCAGGAATCCTTGAGCATTGTTCTACGTCTATAGAAATGGTTAAAACCTTTAGTGGCTCATTATCCTTTGGCATTTGATAAAAACTACCAACCCTTTCTGGAGGAACAAAAGGGCATATATACAATAGTCTGCACCCAATTTTAGGGTAAAGGCCAGATGCTCTAAAAACAATACACATCAACGAGGACATTTAATAGACACAAGATCACAATTACAAGGATGCTTGATTGGTGTGAAACATCTGGTAATGGGCCTAGCCACATACACAAGACAAGTCAGTAAGAAAACATAGTTTATACCTAATAAAGCTTCTAAGCTGTTGTTTACAAAGCCCTTACTTAAAATATAACTTCTAGCAACTACATGTTAATTCACAAACAGGATAGAGAACTCCCTTCACATCTTCTGCAAGCACATAATCAGGATCGTGTGCTAAGAATCCTATCAGAAACACCACTCTACAAACTACGTTCCCATGAATTTCTGCTGAAGATGGCAAAAGCTACCTCTTGACCTGTTTTATTTCATTTTCTTTGTCACAATTAAGCCAACTAAAGCAACTTAAAGTAAAAATGAACATTTTATGCATTTTTTTCCTTCTTATTTTAAAACTACTAAGGGAGCTCTGGTGGCGTAGTGACTAAGACACTTGACTGCTGACCAGAAGTCTGGTCCTTAAGCAGCCACTCCTCGGAAGGAAATTTGGGCAATCTACTTCGGTAGTGATACTGCCTTGGAAACCCAAGGAGGGGTCGCTGTGAGTAAGGTCTGATTCCACGGCAGTGAGTTTGGTTTGGTTTAATTTAGTGCCTAAGGTACTTGACTGCTAACCAGAAGGCTGTCAGTTCAAACCCACCAGCCACTGCTAGGAAGGCAGGTTAGGCAATCTACCTCCACAGTGACACCACCTCAGAAACCCAAGGAGGGGTCACGGGTCACCACGAGTCGGATCCGACTCAACAGCAGTTGAGTTTGGTGATTTGGAATTTTAAAACCTACCATATACTTAGGAGCTCTGGTAGCATAGTGCCTAAGGCACTTGACTGCTGACCAGAAGGCTGGCAGTTCAAACCCACCAGCCACTCCTCGGAAGGAAGGTGAGGCAATCTACATCCATAGTGATATCGCCTCAATGGCACGTAACAACAACAACAACATGTACTTACATTAAGTGTCAATGTTGTTGCTGTTGTTATGTGCCACTGAGTCAACCCAGCTCATAGCAGGTTAGCAATCAGGTGCCTTAGGCACTACACGATCATAGCTCCTAAGTGTCAATGTGGGGCCCTCTCTATCAACAGCAGATACCGCATCTGCCAGAATTCACATTTGTAGAAGTTTACCTCAGTCATCTTCATGCCCTTAGAACACATCCCTGAAGCACGATTCCACCCACAAACAAAAAGAAAACCCCAGTGTTGAGCATGTATTTCAAAAAATAATTACTGTAATTATCCTCTTTATGTTTAGACATCTTTTTTTCCCCTTACTAATACATACTGAAATTGGAAATGGAAAATTCTCTTAGGGTATTTTCCATTTTGATCCAGGTTACAGTGCCCACTCCCCCTTTGAAAATTTTTTGCCTACAGGACAGTATTACCCAAGTGATACTCAGCACACTCTGAGGGGCCACAGTGAAGCTGGTGGCCACTCATCTTCAGAGCTTGGGTGACTTTACAAACCTCCTAACGCCACAACTTGGTAATAAGTAATAGTGATATGGTGTCTACAGACTGAATGGGTTTGGTTCTGGATTAGGGAAATTGTAAAAGTCACTTTTCATTGACTATCCTTTGCTGATCACTCACTGTAGGCTGGAATGTGGCTTTTTACAGGTTCACAAAAGGCCAAGAAACACATACAAGGTCACATAGCTAGTAAGTAGTGAAGCTGGGTTTGAAACACAGATGTTAACTTCTTTTTACCACGTTGGGTGACAAGGAGCTCCATAAGCCTCCTTATACTAAGAATCAGAGCTTTCCCCCCATGAAGTATCACGAGCACAAGCTATAAGGATCTTAATGATTCTGAGGCGAGACTAGAAGAAACTGTCCTCTGTGGAATCTCTGCAGAAAGCACCAATAGCAGAAATAGTCCAAGAGGAAGCTGCTACCAACAGGGAAGAAGCAAGTGACTCCCTACCTGTCTTTCTGAGGCACTAGTTCCTGGATATGGCAGCCTGTGTTTCGTAGGTCATAGACGAGAATTGAACCATTGGCCAATCCAGCATAAATGTAATTATTTTCATCCAGACACCAGCAGCAGCTCCAGACAGGACGCCCAGCATTGTAGGTCTGGACTACAGTATTTGTCTCCAGGCTGTGGTGTTACAAGAGACTTGTTGTAACATCAATTTCTGACAAAGGTGTAAAGACTGTCACTGAAATGATCAATAATCCCACTAAGAATACACACACACACCCCACCATTGTAGATTCTCAATTTTCTCCAGGGACTGCCACCAGATAACTTCTTTGAATTCTGTGTTTTGGGGACCGTAGGCTTTTCCCTTGAGCTGTTAGGAAATGAAGGATAAGGAAGAGGGACATATAGGCAGTACATTCTCCATCTTACCCTGACTACCTTCTGCATGGTTAGCCAATTACACAGTAATTCAGTGTACAAAGAGTAGAAAATACATTCAAGAAAACAATAAATCATAATGCAACCATCCACAGGCAGTCACTAGTAACACTTCAATATTTGACATTTTTCTTCTGTCTCTTTTTAAATGATAGTTTAAGAAGAAGAAGGAAAAAAAACATGTAACACATATGTATGTATACAACGTAAGGTCACATTGAGATTTTGGCTAAAATTAAGCTGAACCATTATTGAAAAGTCAAAAGGCTGACAGGAACTGATAAGACCATCATAATTTCCTCAGATTTAGCTGCAGAAATTAGAATAGGAAATCAAGTATTGAACTACTTCCTAAAAGATAAAGGCCTGTACATCAATGTTCACTGCAGCACTTTTCACAATAGGCAAAAGGTGGAAACAACCAAAATGTCCATCAACAGATGAATGGATAAACAAAATGTGTACATACACCAATGGACTACTACGCAGCTGGAAAGAGAAATGACATTCTGACACATGCTGCAACATGGATAAATCTTGAAAACATTATGCTGAGTAAAATACTCCATCACAAAATGACAAATACAGTATGATTTCACTTTTTTTAAGTTACCAGGTAGGAGCCAGGGGAGTTTCTGTCCAGGAGACACTGAGTTTATATAAATGATGGTAAAATCTTTTGCATAATGACAGTGATAATGGTGATACATGAAAAGTGTAATCAATGCCATCAAGTTGTACATGTGCAAGTTTGGGTGTGTAAGTTTCACTACAATGAAAAGATAAAGGCAGGAAGCACACTCAGATCTGGTTCGTGCTCAGAGTGCGTGGAGGATGAGACACTGTCAGTAACTGAGGATATGAGGTACATCATCTGTGGAACCCAACCAGAACAAGTGCCTGGGGAGTACTTTTGTTAGGCAGAATTATCAAAGTAAGAGACCCAGAAAAAGCAGTCCTGAGCTGACATGGCTCCATGTTATCAGGTGCCCAGGCTACTCACACGTTGTTATTCCACCACCCCTAGAGTGCTGCCATCATCTGCATAGTTTAAGATCTATTTTTTGAATATTTATCTGTAAACAAACAGGATACTATCATACTGGTTTGTAACCTGCTGTGGTCACTTTTAAAAGCAATGTACGTTAAAATCCACGAGTCTGCCTCTCAGAAGAGAAAGGCTCAGACCATAAAAGAGCTAAGGCCTATACCCCATGGATCCTGATTCCATGCTGCTCAACCTGAAATGGCTCAAGCCCGATCCCCCACCCTAAAGCACTCACCTAGTCAGTTTCAGAGTGCTGTCCAGGGAAGCAGAGAGCAGCAAGCCCTGAGACCGAGGGCTGAAAGCTAATCCGCGAATCTGCCTGCCATGCATTGGAATGTACTGATTGCTTTTCATGTTTGCAGTACTCAACATCTTAACACCGAAGCCTGCAAAATGAAGAGGGTAGAAAAGATCACTGAAAGTCAATTTAGGACCAAGTGATCTACTCATGTAGCTGCTTTGCTCACCTTTCTTGGCATGTAAGTTTCTGGAAAAAAAGGTAGTTAAATAACCATCAACAGGCATATATACAAAAAATAAATACTATCCAGCTAAAAGGAATAAGCTACTGATGCACACAATAATATGGATGAATTAAAAAAAAAAAACAAAATCCACAAAATTATGCTGAAAGAAGCCATGCAAAAAAAAGATGTATCATATGATTCCTTTTATTCACAATTCTAGAAAACACAAACTAATTATTGACAAAAAGCAAATGAGCGTTTACAGGTGGATAATTGAAACAAACAGGCAAGAGACTACAAAGGCCAAGAGAAAACTTTTGGGAGGACAGACGTGTTATTTATCTTAACTGTGGTGATGCTTTCAGGGGTGTATATTTGGCTCAAAGATTATCAAAGTGTGCACTCTAAAAAGGTGCAGTTTATTATACATCAATAAAGCAGTTAAAAGAGAAAGATGTCACCTGAATCACAGATATTCAACAGAAAACAGTGGGGCTAAGTATGTGAGGGGATCGAGATATGCTACATTTGTCTATCTGGAATAGATGAAAGAGACGGCATCTCAAGTATCCTGATGAGTGCGTATCATTCTTGAAGGGAAAACAACAAGAAGTCCTTTTAACTGATTTACTTTGTCCTCAGTAAGATTATGATGACAGATTTATTTTTTATTAAATGTCTATTATTATCTGAGTTATATAAAAACAGTATTTCTCAAATCCAAAATTTAATCATACTTTGAATCATACTTCAGCTGCCCTAGGGAACCACATGGGACAAAGTTTATTGTGTTTTCTGCTGAAACAGAATTAGGAGAGCCAGAAAGACAAAAAGGGAGACCATAGGCCTTAAGTCAACAAGGGAACATGAATACCTGCCTTAGTTAATCAAAGGAACAAGGACAGATTAGCATCAGCAGGCTGTCAAGTAGAGACAGCTGTATAAAGCAGGACAGACACATAAAAAAAAGAGACCTAACACATCCAATTTAAAGAGCAATTAGAGAAAATCTAGCATGTTCCAAATCGTGGAGAAGGTTTTATGTGATGACTATAGGCACATTTGGAGAAGGATGTCATGCTTGGTAGGGTGAAGGGTCGACGAAAGAGGGGGAGGCCTTCAACGAGATGGATTGATACGGTGGCTGCGATGATGGGCTCAAGTACAGCAGGGATCGTGGGGCTGGCGCAGGATCAGGCAGTGTTTCGTTCTGTTGTGCATGGGGTCGCTATGAGTCGGAAACGACTCGATGGCACTTAACAACAACAACATAGGCACATTCTCTATAAACAATACTGTTTATGGTGTCTCTGGGAAATAGTTGAGCATCTGATTACTAGCTGAAAGGTTGGTGGTTCAAACCCATCTAAACCCCTAAAGATAGGCCTGGCATTCTGCTTTCAAAAGGTCACAGCCTTGGAAACTCTATGAACCAAAACTATCCTGAGGTCATTGTAAGCAACAGAGTGGCACACAAAATAAAAGGTATTACCCATGAGTACCGTGTGCCATTAAAAACCCATCTATGGGAGACCAAAAAGTCAACAATCCCAATGAAAAAAAGATAAGAATACAAGGGAGCAGGGACACTGGAGTCCAGGAAACAGAAGAATCAGTTTAACTAAAGAGAATTATTTACTAACTGTGAAGAGCGTAACTAATGGCACTGAACAATTTGTACAGGAATCGTCAAATAGGAACCTTATTTGCTGTATAAATTTTCACCAAAAACATAGTAAAATATTATTTGAAAAATACACACATACACACACACACAAAACAAAGATGCATGGAAATAATTAGTCCAAGGGACTGGTAGACCATGTGATCCTCAGCCTAGACGATCATGAGATCAGAAGAACTAGATGGTGCCTGGCTGCCACAGTCAACCACTCCGAGGGGGACTGGTACAGGAGATCCTGGACAGAGTGGGAAAACATTAAGGAACAAAGCTCGAAATTATGGGAAAAAAAAAAAGACCAGGTTTGCTGGTCTGATAGAGCCTGGAGAGACCCCTGAGACAATAGCCCCTAGCTGCCCTTCAGGTCTAGAATTGAACTCACTCTTGTGGCTTCCAGCCAAAAAACCAACAGGTATATGGGGTGAACATTTACATCAGGTAGATACACTCCTTGGAGTGATCAACTGTGAGAGAACAGAAGGGGAGTGCTTGCACAGGGAGACAGCTCAAGGGGCGGGAGTATATGGGAGGGAAGGACACAGGGAAGAACTTGCAGGAAGAGCTGTTAGATTGTGGGGAATTGCAGTCAATGACATGAAACAAAATGTGTATGAACCGGTGTAATGAAAATGAATGTGCTCTGTAAACTCACCCAAATCACAGTAAAAATTAGCAAACTTAAAAAAAAGCACAAAATATGTTAAAAGAGAAACATTAGGGTACCTGTTGCCACTGAGTTGATTCCAACTCATAGCAAACAGAGGACTCAGTACCCCACAGAGTTTCCAAGGCTGTAAATCTTTAAGGAAGCAGACTACCACTTCTCTCTTCCACAGAGTGGTGGGTGGATTTGAACTACTGACCTTTTACTTAGCAGGTGAAATCTTAACCACTGCAACACCAGGATGCCCCTGATCAAATAATCACTTCTTTTATCTTGAATTTGTAAATCTGACCTCTAAGGAAAATAGGTAGAAAATCTTGTTTAAACTTGAATTAGCTGTTGAGGTAGTGTTTTATCAAATTCTGCCAGTCTAAAAAGAATCTCTAATTTTACTGGGACATACAGGAAATAATGTCCTTCTCCTTGGGATGTACCAGTAGCCTATGTTCCATCTTCACCCACTTTACCATGTTATCAGAATTTCTACCATCTTGATAAATTTACAGAATCAAATAAATACACACCAGGCACACATCTTTGCCACACCTTAGAGTACCTGCACTAACAGGGAACCATCGGAACTGATGGGAAAAGGTGACTTGATGGGCTGTGGTCAATGTTCACCCACTACGGAGAAGTGAATCCTTCCAAAGGGAGAGGAGAGGAATGAATGCTGCACGATACGGAGCGTGAAAGCTAAAGCTCTGGACTTGTACCTGGCAGGAAGGAGGCCTGAGGAGAAGGCTGTGACACCACCAGGCAGCTCAAAGCATCACAGTACGCCATGGTGCGGCAGTTCCCTATCTCAGATATGGTGAAGGTCTTCTGGAAATGATACTTGTGCTGGCCCTGGCTGGTGGCTGTGCAGCCTATGAAACTTGTTTGGGAGCTCCTGGGGTGCTGCAAAATTTGACCTCGATGCTGTACAATAAGTTTTTGCAATTCCTAAAATGAAAAAGATTTCATGAAATAAAAACGTTTTAGTTTTATATTTTATTCTCAAGCACAACTCCTTGATCAGATACATAAGGATTCCTTACCCATTCTATGCAAATGTTAACATAAATCCTAGAAAATGTTGCCATTTTCACAGTACTTCAATAAGCGACTGAAATAAGGAAAGCACAGAATCATAAAATACCAGGGTTCAAAGTCCTTAATGGTGATTTTAAAACTCTGATTTTACTGGTACAATCAGGGAGGCAAAATGACTTAAGCTTGATCAGAATTCTCATCTTTTTTATTTTTTCTAAAACTCCAACTGCAGTAGAACTCACCACATCGACTGTGAGACGTGGATAAATGACCTAATCAGAAGATAAGAAAGCTGGTCATGCTTACTTCTCTAACGCTTGGCAAAACCTCTGTATCTGAGATGACCCTAATGTGTTCAGATTGCTCTTTAATTCCTATTCCAAATGTTCCTTAGATTAGGAAAGGCAAGCTCACCTGGACACGACCACGAAGCTTAGTGCATTCTTCTGTGAGGACCTGAAGTTGGAGCCGGCACTGAGCCGATTCTAACTCTGCTTGCTTCCTTATCATTTGCTCCTTCAGTAAGGAACTAGAGTAGGGAAGCCAGAAATAAGTGTTAACGTAGGCAGCGTTAACGGCCAGGAGCCGGGCCCCTACTGGAGTCTGGGAAGGCGGTCTGGTGGCACAGTAGCTAAAGCACTGGGTTGCTAACGAAAAGAATGGTAGTTTGAACCCACCAGTCTGGGAGAAAGATCAGGCAGTCTGCTTCTGTAAAGATTTACAGCCTTGGAAAACCTATGGGACAGTTCTACTCTATCCGATAAGGTTGGTATGAGTCAGTGGGTTTGGTTTTGGTGCTGAATGGGGACCAAACATGCTTTAGATTAAATAAGGAAACAAGCTAAGATCATTGCTTGAAGCTAGAGCCAAATTATAAAAGATTAAACTGACACAGTAAAAAAAAAACAAAACCAAACTCACAGCCATTGAGTCAGATCCGACTCATAGCGACCCCTCCTTGGGTTTCCGAGGCAGTATCACTATAGAAGTAGATTGCTCAACCTTCCTTCCGAGGAGTGGCTGGTGGGTTTGAACTGCCAGTCTTTTGGTTAGCAGTCAAATGCCTTAGGCACTTAAGCCACCACAGCACCCAACACAGTAAAAGATAGAGGTTCTGTTATAATCAAGCTGTCTTTTATGCATCATATATTCAAACAACATCACAGAAAGATTGAAATAAAATGTAAAGTATTCACTAGGCAAATGCTAACTAAAAGACAAATTAGAATGAAAACAAAAAGCATGAATAGGCATACATAAAGAGGATGATGCACAAAGAAAGGAAGCATTCTCCAAGATTTAACCATCATAAACCTATATTCGTCTAAAAACAGCTTCAAAATATGCAATCAAGAGATTTTCAATCCAATGAGACAAGATAAAGATAACTGATAAAATAATTAGAAAGGGATCAAGTTGTCTTTATTTCTCTTCATGGAATATTTAAAAGACTTCAAGAATTTTAATAGTTTAGCAAGGTTGTTGAGAACCCTATCAAGAAAATTAGATCAGTAACATTCCCAACTGAAACGAGCAAACTAGAACTACATGTACTAGGGTTGGCAGAAAATGATCCTATAAGTGTATTTGTATGATCTGTAAGAATTCCCAGGGGTATAGTAAAGCTGACAAGGGGCAAGGTTGTGGTCACTGCTTGGTAACAGCCAGCTACCCAAAGGGACCGAGTAGATGAACCTGCCGGCTTGGGACCATAGTCGCAGGGGACATCAAGCTCAATTGGCATAACATACTATACAAAACATTGTTCCACCTCCTACTTTGGCGAGTAGCGACTGGGATCTTAAAAGCTAGCAAGCTGCCATCTAGATGCAACGATGGGCTCTCCTCTTCCAGAGCAAAGAATGAAGAAAACCAAAAGTCATGGAAACAATTAGTCCTAGCAACTGGTACACCATCCGATCTGCAGCCTATACAACTATGAGACCAGAACAACTAGATGGTGCCTGGCTACCACTGTCATCCACTTGGAAAGGGATCTATGTAGGAGACCCTTGATAGAGAGGGAGAACGATGTGGAACAATACTCAAAATCATTTGGAGAAAAAAAAAAAGGGGGGGGGGGGACCAGGTTTGCTGGTCCGATAGAGCCTGGTGGAAAGACTGAGACTATGGCCCCTAGCTGCCCCCAGATCTGGAATTGAACTCACACCTGTGGTTTCCAGCCAAACAAAAGACAGAGCATATGAGTTGAACATTTACCTCAAGTAGATACACTCCTTGGGGAGAACAATCATGGGAGAGAAGGGCTGCTTATGCACAGGGAGACAGCTCAGGCGGCAGGAGTGCATGGAGGGATGGACACTGGGAAGAGGTAACTGTGGGGAGGATGTGGGAGGGGAGCTGTTGCTTTGTGGTAAACTGTGGTCAATGACATGAGACAAAGTATATGTGAACTGCTGTATGGAAAGTGAACTTAGTCTGTAAATCTTCACCCAAATCACACACACACAAAAAAAAGTCCCAAACATTAAACAAAAATGCCAGCTAGAAAATGAAAAATAAAATCCAGTGTAACATTTGCATAAAGTGTAAAAACTTTCTAACTCATCCATTTATGGATATATGTTTAGCTACTCAAATGTGTATCATTCTTTGAATGATGAACAACTAATTTAGGAAAATGGTACTCTGGGGAAAGAAATGGAATGAAAGAGAATTTAGTTCACAAAAACGCTTTTACTACAGTCATTCACTTCTTTTATAAAAAGTCCCAAAGCAAATATAGCAAAACATTAAGATTTTACAAAGCTCTGGTAGCATACTACCTAAGGCATTTGATTGGTAACCAGAAGGCTGGCAGCTCAAACACACTGGCCACTCCTCAGAAGGAAGGCTGGGCAATTTATTTCTGTAGTGATACTACCTTGGAAACCCAAGGAAGGGTCGCTATGAGTTGGATCCGACTTGACGGCAGTGTGTTTGGTCTTCTTTTGGTTTGGGTACAAGATGTTCATTTTTATTAGTTTCTATATTTACTGTCATTTAAAAACATTTCCTTTTTCAAAGGAGTTCTGGTGGTGTAGTACCTCAGGCATTTGACTGCTAACCAGAAGGTTGGTGGTTCAAACCCATCAGCCACTCCCTGGAAGGAAGGTTGGGCAATCTACTTCTGTAGTGTTATCGCCTTGAAAACCCAAGGAGGGGTTGCTATGAGTCAGACCTGACTTGACGGCAGTGGGTTTTTAAGGACCACAGTAAGAGTTCTGGTAGCATAGTGTCTAAGGCATTTGACTACTAACCAGAAGGGTGGCAGATCAAACCCACCAGCCACTCCTCGGAAGGAAACTGGGGCAATCTACTTCCATAGTGATATTTCCTCAGAAACCCAAGGAGGGGTCGCTATGAGTTGGGTCTGACTGGATGGCACATAACAACAACGACAACAACAAGAAGGACCACAGTGACTGACCTCAGTATTGTAATTAGTGAATTGTTTAATATACTCACTAATACCCACATCTGTGTTTTCCATAGAAGTTTCCCGCTCTAGATATCTGCTATTTAAAAATACTACAAATATGTATTTGTTGGTGCATGAGGGAGAGAAAAGAAAAAAAAAAGCAGAAGAAAGCAAGCCAACTTGTTACCCCAATCCAGAGTGACTACTTGTAGTGTTTTTCTTCTTCCGGTTTACACAAATGTTATCCTATGGTCTAATAACGTGCTTTCCCACGACAACATACTTACTATATACTCTTCTGTATTGGACAGTGTGGCACCACATCAATAGGTCAGAGTTTATGCAAGCAATTAATCATGTAAATGAAAATTCTCACAAATAAATCTTTACACATTTCTTTAGAATAAACACCTGAAGTAGAATTACTAGCTCAAAGGACTTTAAAGGCTTTTGAAACATTGCCAAAAGTTCTCTCCCCGCGGTGTACCTATGGACATTCTAACCAAAACATGAGAGGACTCATGGCTCTGCATTCTCTTAACAGTGGTAGTTTTATTTTTTAATATTCCTAAAGCACGTTTTAAGTAGTGATACTAGCAATCTTTCATGGGCTTTCAAAATGCTAATAATTTCCAATATGGAACTGCATGTACAAAGCTTCACTCAGGAGTCTTCTGTGCAGAGAGCCGCTATAGGAGGGCTCAGGACACCAGAAGCAAAAATGAAAACCCTTAGGTAGGGGGCCAGATTCTCATCATTAATACTGTTGGAGAGCAAACCACGTAGACTCCTTCAAAAGACTGACCAAACAACATTATAAACCATAATGTAAGCGTGTCAATGATCCCCAGAGATCCCAAGTCCTAGGCCGAGTAAACCTTAGAACCACTCTACGAGTGACTCCTACCTCCTTTTCTCAGATGTTTCTATAAGAAATCCATAGGAAACATTCCAGCTAGGCAGACACACACCACCTACCTTTTCATGCGTTCCTGTTCACTAGTGTCCAAAGCTCTCAAGGTTCTGGTATAGAGGACAACGATGTCACTGTGCTTGGCTTTCTTGTTGCACTAAAGAGTCCAACAAGACACAATCAGTGTGGATCTAGGAATCCTCCTGCCTCCTGACTTAATATATTGACTGTGAACATCCACAACTCTTGTGGCCCTTACCTGGGGACATTTTCGTACTTGTCCTTTGAGCCACTTAGATATGCATCTATACCCAAATAGGTGCCCACAACGTAAGGCTGAGAGCCGGTGGTCTCCAGCATTGGTCCACGGCTCGAAACATACTGTGCAAGTGTCTCCATCGTCCTCATCCGCGGGCTGAGGAGGAGGAAGAGGAGGGGGATCAGTGCTTTGGAGAGACTGCAAGATAGAAACAAGAATAATTCAAATTAGAGAAGATGCAAAGTACATCTTGAAGAGGCTCCCCAATGCCACCAAATTAACAAAGCATGAAAAATAGTGCCATAAAGAAAAGGCCACAGAAAACTGCAAAACTATGAATCGCTTGTCATTTGTTCTAGAAGGAAACCTCACAAAAGGTAATAAAAGCCATTAAATAGTACTTTTTTGATCTTACGAAATTCTTCAGTCAAAAGAAGAAAAGAAGCTGTATAAAGATACAATAAGTAAACAAAAACAAAAATAAAAAACTGGCAACTACCCAGATAACTAACAACGGGGAATGGTAGATTCATTATACATTCACTGACAATATAAAAGTAGCTATAAGATATTTAGTACAGGGAGGCGGGGCAAGATGGTGGACTAGGCAGAAGGATTGCACAGACCCTCTTCAACAAAGAAAAGGGAAACCAATTAACACAGACATAGAAGATAATCTTGGACCCCTGAGCCTTGAAGGAAAGGATGCAGATTTGGACTAAACCCCAACTAGAAGAAGAATTTGCGTGAAAATA